TAGGATCCTCTTGCATAGACCTGTTTGCCACGAGGTTCAACAAACAACTACAGACGTTTGTCTCACCAGTTCCAGATCCTCAAGCCTGGGCAACAGATGTACTGAGCATGTCGTGGGAAGGACTAAACGCCTATGCTTTTCCACCCCCAATACTACTTCCAAAAGTACTGTTCAAGATCAAACAGACTCAGACGCTACAACTGACTTTGGTCGTGCCCTTTGGCCGAACCTACTAATACATCCGCACACCAAGCAAGTCCACGGAAACCCGACAATATTCCAGTTACATGTGTGGACCGTATCAAAACATGCTTGAAGAAAAGAGGATACTCCGCCAGGGCAGCCAAAGCAGTAACGCTAGCGTTACACAGATAGACTCGTAAAATATATGATGACAAATGGCTGAAGTTTGAGACTTATGCAAGGCGGAAAGGCTTCACTGCGATGATAGCTACTCATTTCAAGTGGCGGAATATCTGTGTTATCTTAGACAGACCAGACATCTGAAAGGTTCGACATTATCTACATACCTTGCTATCAGTACAGTGATTACCATGAAAACAGGCATCAAGTTGACGAAAGTACCAGAATTACTTGCTCTTCTGAGATCGTTTAAGCTGGAGGACCAGCAAAAGAAATTCAGAGCTCCAGCTTGGGATCTAAATGTAATTCTACATCATCTTACCAGTGATGTCTACGAACCAATAGACCAGATTACACTCGAGCTGCTAACACAGAAGACTCTGTTCCTGTTTGCATTAGACACGGCAGCTCGAATATCGGAGATACATGCACTGGACTTCGGTCGAACCAGATTCGACAGAGGGCAACATAATGCAGTTCATCTAGGACTTAGATGGGACTTTATTGCCAAGAACCAGCTACCTGGTCATCCAGATAGACAGTTCCATGTACCAGCGCTATCTACAATCCTCGGCCCACAGGATATAGAGGACTTATACTTGTGTCCGGTCAGAGCCCTGAAGATATATCTTCAAAAGACTGAGGCAAGGAGACAAAAATTCAAGCGCCTGTTCATCCCATTATCATCAAGAACGACCATATCGTTCTGGATGAGAGCCGTTATATTGAGAGCCTATAAAGCAGCAGGACTAGAACCTCCTAGAGCTTCCAACCCACACGACGTCAGAGCACTTGCGTCAACACTGGCTCTGCACGGAAATTTCCCTATACCAACAATTATGGAGGGCTGCTTTTGGAAGTCGGACACGGTGTTTGCCAACCACTACCTCCGAGACATAGCCACTGAAGACGTCTCAGGCATTCACCAATTTGGGCCTCTCGTTGTAGCACAGCAACTAACGGTTCCTCAAGGCGCTGAGTTGGAAAATCTCACCTTTTATCACGTTGACTTGTCGATAACTTTGACTAAAAGGAAAGTACTAGTTTGAAAGTCCATGCGCACAGTCTAGCACATTAAAGATTAAAGATCCTGTACGGGTAAAGATCTTACCTGTACGTGAAGGGTCACAACTCATTAATGATAAAGATCTTATCATAATCATAAACTATGGGTTGTTATGAGATGTCTAGTAATATGAAGATACTAGTTTATCTGTAGCCACATGAATCAACATGATTCAACTTGTCTGAGACTGAAGTAAGACAAGAAAGTGGTTCCCCGAGTTATAACAGGTGTGTGTGTGTGCGCGCATGCGTGCGTGCGTGTGTGTTTTACAGGACGTATCTAAGGACAGCTGATGAATCCACAAGGGGCTTGACCCACCACCAATCTGTCTGATTCTATAAGCAAAAGTTCATGAGTCAGGATAAGTACAAATATGTAATTTTTTAAGTAAAATTGATATTTTTATACTTATCCTCACGCATGACGAGAAGCCCTCCCAACCTCCCTGTTGAAGACACTTAGGATTTCACAGCAGATCCAAGTGCATGGGCAGAAATTCAGGAGAGAGTGACAAGTAAGGCAGGTCACCTGACTGTTTGCGCGGTCGGGAAAAGGGCAAAAGGGAGGCAACTCGTGGGTGAGTGTATTTTTACGTCCGCTTCGGGAACTTCAAGGGATTCAAGTGTTCCACTACCATTTCCAAGGGAAAGGGAGCTAAGCAAAAGATCATGAGTCAGGATAAGTATAAAAATATCAATTTTACTTTAAAAATTACATTTTCGGTTGAATTGCTTTCAATATTTTTCTACCAGCTTGGAAAGCATCTCAGCTATATACACATAATTTCCATTCAATTTTCCGATGATTGTTAAGAAAACTGCAACTATTTAAACAACATATATTAGACATACCAATCAGGTTTAACATGGCTGTCTATCTGATAGATTAAAATCAAGTTGAACAGACAGACAGACAGACAGGTTTATTTCATAAATGTGGCCATGAGGCCATTAGTACAAAATGACAACTTAGATTAAACTTTTTCAGAGCGCATGGACATGATTTTGTTTACAAAAAATCGCTAGACAGACTATTATATTGTGGTTCTTAGTATTTAGAAGATGTACAATTTTTTGTTTATTTGGGTTCATAATATAGGTACTTGGTATGTAGTGAGTTCTTACCGCTGCATAAAAAGGACATTTCATTAACACATGATACTTATCTTCTAGCACACTTTTACAATAATCACACATAGGTACACTAATGTCATTGTCTTTAGATCTTCTGTACGAAACTATTTTCAAATGGGTGGAGCCGCATCTGAATTTCGTTAAGACTCTGCACATGTGTAACAAAGAGAGTCCAATCAAGTACAATTCCGGAACAACATCAGATGTAAGGGCAGAATACATATGTAATGAATTTGAGTTTCTTATATCTTGTGTCCATTCTTGATAGTACATGTCTTTACAGCGTTGTTTGAAAAGATTTAAAAACAATTCCCAGTTTCCAACATTTTGATATATCCATACTAGAGCTGTGTATCGTGGCCTAAGTGGCGAGACGATATATCCCGATACTAGTATTGGCAAGGAAACTGCGAGACGATTATCATCACGATACAGTGATGGCGATACGATACTTATCCCGATACTTTACAATCCTAAAAACAGGACATATATGATAGATAAAATGACTGAATCTTTATTTGTTATTCAGCAGAACATGTGTTACATTCACACACACTTAAAAGACTGTTCATGTAATAAAGTTTCAGCATTTAATGCTTAAGAAAGTACAATCAAACATATTCAGTATACCTTGCTCTAGGTTTCCCTTTGAAAGTTGTGTTTCTGCACCAATGCTTGCATAGGCAATGTGTGCAGTAATTTATACCAGAATCACTGCAAAAACTCATAAGTATGCTTTCTAAATTTTATCTTCTCTTTCTTAACAAAGCTAAGACATCGTTCATAGTTGTTAATAAATGGTGTTATTTGTCAAACAACTAAAACATGTTTCAATTACTTAAAGACAAGTCTTTACAGTTCACAGAGATTGTTCACATGCTTTCACTGATACACTAACTCCTTTGTTCATGTAACAAAGATGGCAGACACAAACAAATTCCTTTTAGGTTCAGGTTTTTTTTAAAATTCAGAAAAATTTCAAAGAGACTCCCTTCCTATTACTTATGCAATACTCCCTATTTAAGTTGTATCGGGATATATCGTCTCTTGTGGCGATACATCGATGTATCATGGACCCTCACGATATAAATATCCTGATATATTGCCTAAACGTGTTTTGTATCGATGCACTCGTATCGTGTAGTTGACGATGCAAATATCGATGAATCGTTACACCACTAATCCATACATAAGCAAAGCCATGTAAAAGGTATCTCCCACTTTCGGCTAAAACTGCCTTGTTCGGCGTGTGAGTCAAAACTACTGTCGGTTTGATGTTTATAATAACTTGGTTCCCCTTTTGATATAAAAGCAAGTTTGGGAAAGAAGTAGACTAGCTAGGTCAGAATCTGCCCCTGTTGATATAAGAGCAAGGGTGGGGAAGCAGTGGCCAGAACAGAACAAAATATCCTAGTGTAAACAAGGGGGAAACTTTGGGGAAGGGGGGGGAGACTTTAGCCTTGCCCAATCTTTCCCCAGGGTAAGAATATCCTAGGACAAAACTTCCCCGAGGAAGAAATGGCCTGCTACACCGGTATATATAAGAGCGTTTATCTGTCAACGTATCAAAAGCTTTTTTAAAATCAACGAAAATGCTATAAATTTTCCACGCTTTTTCCTTATGTACTTGTGGATAATGGAATTTAATACAAATATTTGGTCAACAGTACTGTAGTCTCTCTAAACCCTGCTTGAGACCTAGAAATTATATCCTGTGTTGAAGCCCAAAGTGTTAGACGTACATCTAGAATACTTGGGAATTTTTTGCTTATTATATCAAGTAGTTATTGGGATCCTCTTTATCTCCTGCTATATTAACGGAACGATAAGACCAAGGTTCAAAGAATCTGGAAAGTTACCACCCTTGAGAATGTCTTTGAAAAGACGTTTATAGAATAACATTTTTCAGATTCTTATCTGCATTCAAAATTTGATCATTAGAGATGTTGTCATCCAAGATATTGTCCCAATCTCTGCATTGTTCACAATTAACAACATCATGATTTTCAAGAAATGTTCGTACATGTATATCAAACTGTGTGCAATCTGTTAGAGGGTGTAAGAGGTTACTAAAGTGTTTATGCCACTTATCTGGGGTGATGTTTGTTTGTAGGCTGGTAGTGTTACAATACGTCTTGATTGACTTCCAGAACTCTTTGCATGTTTTACCTTTGGTTGTATTTACAATTTCCTCTGCCATATTGTTTTCAAAAGTAGATTTTTTCTGTTTACATAAAGCTTACAAACAGTAATAAATTTCAGTACATTTTGGAATCTACATGATCATAAACGTCTTACCCACCCATGTAATATATGACCTATAATACATGTTATCTTTACAGATTTTTTTAATGTAAACTTGTTATTTTTGTTAAAATGTGATTTAATTACATGTTAGAGTAACAGAATTGTTATATGTATTTACAACTTGATTGTAGATGAAGATCACGGAAGTGAAGATGGACACAGGGATGAAATCCTAACAGAGGAAACATCAAGTATTGATGACCAGTTTAGACTTGGTAGAAAGATGGAGAGAGCCAGTACAGTGTTTAATTCACCTTCAGTCGGCAGACGCAGTGTAGAGAATCCACCAACCACAGTAATCGTGAACATGCCAAATGGAGTATTCATAACAGAAAGTGAAATGGGAAGTGACGGAAAAGCTTCTCTCACTAACATGATTCTGAAACCAAGGGTAGACATATGTCGAGATGAAGTGATTGAGTATCTTTACACTCACGGGCAATTTGTGGGAACAAACCGTTCAATAGAATTTTGTTGTCCAAAAAGAATTCAAGAAAAGAAGTGTTTTGATTATGAACCAAAGCCGAAAAGAAAGAAAAGGAACAAAAACCTTGTATATCAAGAACCAGTAAAACAAAAGCCAGTTTATCTGTCTCCTAGTGAGGCAAAAGCTTGTCTGTCCAGAAAACCTGGAGGTAGTATGGCTCCACTCCAAACATGTTTACAGTGTAACATTGTTGAAAAAGCTAAAAAAAATGTGCCATGGGCCAAAGAGATTGGAATTCAGAACATATCTCGTTTAATGGATAGTAGTATTGGACATTGTTCAAAGCCAATGCCTAAATTATATGAAAGGCTGATTTGTAAGCACACTGATCCTTCTGAAAAGATGGATAAGGAACAAGAGCCATCTCCAGGAAAGAATGGCAGGAAGAGAAGAAAGGTTGTGACTCCTGAAGAAAGCTTAGAAACAGGTGAACAGGGCGAAGAAATAGAACAAGCTGATGGACACAACAAGACAGAAGTAGTAGATGAAGAACAGGTGTACATTGATGAAGATTGGACTGAAGAATGTCAGGAAGATGACGATGAGTTTGTAGAACAGAAGGAAGATGAACATTTGGTGGTAAAAAAACAAATTGTAGTAAATAGGGAAGTACTAGAGAATGTTGAAAAGGAAGAAGTAGATCAGATTTTGGTAAATAAGGAGGTACTAGAGAATGTTGAAAAGGAAGAGGTAGATCAGATTGTGGTAAGCAATAAATGCAAAGACAGGGTTGTGAATAAGGAACAGAATGTGGTACGGGTGCACAAGTGGGTTGTAAATTTTCTGCCAGATGAAGGACAATTTGTTTTACAGGAGGTAGATGAAGACCAGACAATGAAAGATGTAGATAAGATTGTCTCATCTAAAGCTTTGGTAAAACAGAATGTTGTAAAGAAGGAAGTAGATCAGATTGTGGTAAATAAACCTGATGAAGACCATTTTGTGGAAAGGGTGAAAGATGAAAAACAGTCTCTTGAGCAGAGGGTTGGAGAAACATCTGTTGTACAGAAGAAAGATAAAGGACAGTTTGGGGATGAAGAACAAGAACAGAATGTGATACGAGAGGAATCAGAAAATGTGATTCTGGTAAAGCATGAAGTAGAAGAAGCAAATGTAGTGAAGGAAAAGGCAGAACAGTATGTTGTGCACATGGAAGAAGATTGGGTTGTGGTAATGCAGGAAGAGGAACAGTCGACAAGAGAAGTGGAAGATGAAGAAAAGTTTGTTTTTCAGGGGACAGAAATAGAACAGTTGTTGGTAAATGGGGAAGAAGAAAAGATTGTAATGGATGAAGAACGGATTGTGGTAAACAAGGAAGTTCAAGAACAGAATGTGATAAAGAAAGCAGAACATATTTTAATACAGGAGGAAGAAGAAGATTGTATAGTGGTAGATCAGGAAAATGAAGAACACATTGTAGTTAAGGAAAGAGTTCAAAAGGTTGTGGTTCAGGATGCCGTAGATGATTGTATTGTCATTGAACAGGAAGGAGAACCCAGTGTGGTAAGGGAAGAGGTACAACAGAATGTGGTAATATTGATAGATGAGTGATAGGCTGGACCAAATCAGTGGTGACCAATGATTTATAATGATATACCAATATACCTCAAGACTATGTGCCAGCTGTTGTTTGAGAACTGTCAATAAATATGACTGAATTATTTGATTTTTGATTAAGTTAATTTCTAATAAGAGGATCACAATTGTCTTGAAGCCATTATTATACTGAACCACAAAAGAAACGCCACACCTGTACAGGTTTCTTAAAGCACACACAATTCGCTCAAAGTAGTAATCAAAACGGAGGATTGAGCTCAAACTTGACAATTATGGTTAACACTTTTTCAGGAATAGTTCACACAAACAAAATTACCATTAGGATCCCTCAAAGTCTATTGTGTGTGGCCTCCATGGGCATCGATGACAGCATTGCATCGCCTGTACACGGAATGAATCAGACTGTTGATGAAGGCCATAGGCACATGGGGCCCATTCTCTGCGAAATGCCTGATCGAGTTCAGCCACAGTTGTCGGCCTTGGCTGGAGATCATTCAGTCTTGAATCTGGTCCCAAAGGTGTTCTATTGGACTTAAATCTGGACTGAGTGCAGGTCAGTGTAGGGTTTGGATGCCATGTTGTCTTAGGAAGTCCTATGTTGCTCTGGCAGTGTGGGCACTAGCGTTGTCTTGCTGGAAGGTGCGATTTCTGTGACGTCCAAAATGGTACAATGTTGGGTCTTATGACATGGTCAATATAGTGAGCAGTTGTCACGCCATTTCTTCTTCCTGGACCGAGGTGGCCAACTCTATGGTTCACACCGATTGCACTCTACACCATTATGCTTGGACCACCCCACGAGTCTTTTTCAACAATACACTAATTGGAAAACCGTTCCGCGCCTTCGCCACACTCTCACTCTGCCTTCTTCGGCTGTCGAAACACAATATCGGCTTTCATCAGAAGAAAGCACAGTTCTCCATTGTCGATATGCTGAGCTGCTCATTGCAGTTGGTTTGGGCGGTGGCGAGGACAGGACCAAGATATAGTCCGTAACAGCAGAGGTTTCTTCCACGCAAAGGTTGATGCAGTGTATCGGCACTATTGTTGTGAGTCCCAATGATCTGGCGTGCTGTTTCCGTCGCTCTGGTGAAGCTATTCTGCAGATGGTTGCGCATAATCTGTCGGTCTTCACTTTGGGATGTTACTGAAGGTGGATGCTGTTAGAGGCCTGATACCGCTCCTGCAGTAGGTAGGTTTCCCTAACATGAACAATAAAATAATTGGGTACCTTCCGTGCAAGCTGGCCAACTTGCAATCATCCTATGGCTTGGTTCCTAAGATCTCTCTTAAGTGGTGGCATGGCAATTGTGTCAAAACAAGAATGATTTCAGGCGAGTTTTGGACTCGCTTTCATATGTCATAAGGAACCTTTTACCATGTTTGCCTTTATAGGTGTGCTTTTGAGGTATGCTTTTTCATCAGAAAGCACACTGATGTTGGCAATAACTGTCAATTTGGATATAAAAAACAAGCCAGAAGAGTGAAGCATTTTACAACGAAATTCAAATGAATTGAAAGTTGTGCACATGACAATGTCTGCAACTGTTTTGCAAATATAAAACGTCAGTGCCAGTCAATTCAATTCAATTCAATTCTTTATTGTATGAAAGGCCATAGGCCCATATACAAAAGAGATACATCTTGACAATGGCATATATAATCAATTTTTTAACTAATCAATTCTTTTCTTAACAAAAATGCATGGTAGATAAATGGAGCAACTTTGTGTTGTTTTGGAGGTTCTTTGCAGGAAAGTAAGGAAGACAATAGATTAACATTGATTTGAGATAAAGACTGTTGCGGTAGATACTTATTTCTTAGATTTTCATATACAGGACAAATAAACATAAAATGGAATTCGTCTTCAATAATAAAACAGAATGGACATAATCTTTGGGTTTTTTCCATAGAAACATATCTTCCACGGTTAATTAATAAATCATTAAGGCCTAATCTAAACCGTATAAAAGCATTGCGAATATTTCTGTATTGAAGGTGAGCAAGATAACACTCTGGCTCAAGCAACGACTTAAACTGACGATATGAATCGTATCTAGAACTTTCATTAATAGTTGAATGCCATTCCTGCTTAAACATATCAACAGCCCGCATACGAAACTGTTTAATAAACATAATTGCATTGCCAACTGTCTGTGATAACCAAATACAACCAAAACCATATCTAAATAGTAAGGTGCGAATATGGGATGTCCAGTTATCAAGTTTCCAAGATAATCAAGATGTAAAAGCATATTGAAAGCTTTTTCAGGTAAACGATGTTCAGGCATATTAATTATTTTACACCAATATTTTAAACAACGACAATAAGATGGTATGTACAATGGGAACCTCCCACATTCACCATAAACCATAACATTTGGTGTTGACAAACCAACGTTTAGAAACTTTTTACAGGCAAGCAAACGAATTTTTCTATGGTATAATACTCTTTAAAACCCCACATTTCAGATCCATACAGTAAAATCGGTTGTATCTGAGAGTCAAATAATTTGAAGTAAATAGTCGGTGTAACAAGACCGAGCATAGGAACAACAGAGTGAAGTTGATGCCATGTTTACCAGACTTCATGATATCTAAATATAATTCGTTAATGAAAAAGGAGAAAAGTAAAGGACTTAAATACATCCTTGACGCAGACCGACAGGACAATCGAAAAAGTCACTGACACCATAGCCACAGCGGACACATGACTTTACATTGGAATACATCGATCTTATGATACCATACATTTTACCTCTCAAACCTATATTTCTTAAGCATTTCCACATTCTACCTCTATCTACAGAATCAAAGGCCTTTTTGAAATCTACAAAAGCTACATATAACTTTCGCTTGCTAAAGGATAAATATCTCTCAATAATAGCATACAAGGTAAATATATGATCAAATGTTGAGTAGTCCTTTCTAAATCCAGCTTGAGGTTCCGGTATTAAATCTCTCATATTCGACCACTGTGTTAACCTACTGTTGATAATAGATGTAAACGTTTTACCTAGAATACTAGTCAGAGAAATACCCCTATAATTGTCAGGATTTTGTGCATTTCCGTTTTTATATAACGGGATAATAATAGATTGCGCCCATACGGAAGGAAAACGACCTGTATCAAATACTCGATTGGACATTTTAACCAGGAAGGGCATAATGTCAGGTAATGAGTATTTTAGCATTTCAGAAATAAAACCATCAACACCAGCAGATTTACCAACTTTAAGACCAGACACAGCATCCAGTATATCATATTCCGTAATAGGTGATTCCAGCACAAGCCTATCAACATCATTAAACTCTTCACTTAGCACATCGCTGTCACAATCTGATAACCAGTTGTCAACATCGTAAGCAATATCTTCCTTGGAAAAGAGATTCTTAAAATGACATAACCATTCCGTTTGCGATATATTTACTATGGGGATAGAACGACTTTGCAGAGAACGTATATTTTTCCAAAATAGTTTCGGGCTGTTTAGGGAGTTATTAAGTCACTCAAGTCTTGACGATTGGATATCATATTTGAACTTTCTGCAAGAAAATTTATAAATGTTTCTAAGTCTGCAGTAACCTTTACGATTATATTCACAGCGACATCGTCGAAATTTTCTTAGGGCTTTCCTGCTTTCTGTCCTCGCTTGTCTACAAGCTCTATTCAATTTAGGTTTACTAGTTCCAGGATCAAAATGCTTCATTTGTCTTTTCATACTTGAAGCTGAATGAAGTCTTGACTATCCTTGTAATAGATTCCACTCCATGGAGCCACGAAAATCATGTGAATGGATCACTAAAATTCAGCAATAACACCAGGTGTTCATGAAACGGGTAATCAATTTCTGCTCTACCAGTAGCACCGGCCATTAGCAATGTGGAAGAAATGTATTTCAGCCCCACACCGCAAGGCAAACCAATATTTAATTGAACGTGTGTGTTTTTTTCACACTACAGAAAGACTGACAGAAGTTCAACGACACAACGCCTTCGGCCGTTTACAAGGACGGATATCGCAGCATGATGTGGCAAGGCACTTCAGCGTGTATCAGACAGACCATCTCAAACCTATGGACCCGATACAAAAATACTGGGAGTGTTAATGACAGACCCAGGTTTGGTCGACTTGGAGTTACCACCGCCACCCAGGATCTCTACATCCGGTTGAGACATTTTCGTTCAAACACCACGGCCGCATCATCCACAACAATCCAAATCCCTGGACTGCTCCGAATCTCCGACCAGACAGTGCGCAACTGGCTATGTAAAGCCAGACCTTTTGCCAGAGGACCAATTCAACGTCACGTCGTTCCCTACATCAACGTAATCTTTGGAGCATGACAATGTTCGACCCCACGTTGCACGTGTTTGACAGGTCTTCCTCCAGCAAAACAATGTTCAGTTGTTACCTTGGCCTTCTCTATCACCGGATTTGTCCCCCATTGTCATCATATGGATGAATGAATATACGACTTGAAAAATAATGTATAGTTGCTGATGTTCAAACGTCTTGAGTACCAATTTAGACTTGGTGCATGGACCTGAGAGTACGGTGTGCGGACAAAACCCCTGTGGACAAAAGCCTTCTGACGAAAACCCCTTGGTACAAACCTCCACCATGTAAGACACACGCACACACACACACACACACACAGAGCTCCAAATGAATAATGAAGATTGTTTATCATACAAATATTTTATTCAGCCGACATTACATGCATTATGAACACTAGCACAAACTGGGTCCATCACAATATCATGGAATACTAAAAAATTCATGATCAATTATTACGATTTATTCCCACTTTTTGCACTCACACCTGTCAAGGGAGCTAGAACAGTTGTCCCGGTTTTGGCAGTAACGTTTATGATTCACACCTCATACTTAGCCCTTTGACACCTCGCTAATGAGTCTTAATTGATTTAATCAACTCCTGTGTAGAGTGAAGAAGCGTAACAGAATAACAAAGAATGATATTGGGGATGATTATTTTATTCACAATACATTTGCAAAGTATTTCTGATGTTCTAATGACTGCACCATCAGTAGTGGTCACTTGTGCCAGACATTTCTCCTTTACAGCCTGGCACCTCCATGGAATTGTGCCATTCTTGTTTGCTGTCCGTCTGAGATATAGCGATAGCCATCCAAAAGCATGTCGGCACCTTGCTTTCTTCCATCCAGGATCTGTCCTTTCTCTTCCATAGTGAGCATAAGTGTAACAGGAATTTCAGTTTCAAATCTATATTAGTTATCTACATAAAACATCCATCTTTTTCTAACTCTAACCTCTTTACTTTTACAAACCTCCTCAGTGCCTAATTGATCCCAATTGTCCCAGTAGCACCTTAGTTACCACCTTACTGACGAGGCCTAATTGATCTTAATTGGTCACAGGGGCGGTGGGGTAGCCTAGTGGTTCAAGCGTTGGCTCGTCACGCCGAAGACCCGGGTTCGATTCCCCACATGGGCACAATGTGTTAAGCCCATTTCTGGTGTCCCCCGCCGTGATATTGCTGGAATATTGCTAAAAGCGGCGTGAAACTAAACTCAGTCAGTCAGTCAGTAATTGGTCACACCAGTTGTCCCAGTTTTGGCAGTGAGATACAACACCTGCATGGTCCAGTGCACAACAGACTGCCAGAAATGGGAAATCAACATTATTACCACTACAAGCAATATATTAGGACTCAAATATTAGGAAAATATGAATATTGAATATTAGTTTCATCATTATCAGTAACAGCTTAGAGAAAGACACCAGTTTAAAGTAACAAAATCCATTTCACAGACATACTATTGAAAAAGGTATAACCTTCCTTGTTATTTTTCAATATCACCATGCTGGAATGCTACTGCCTGCTTAGCTAACGGAGCATAGTTAATTGACATGACTCAAATTAATTGACCAAACTCATTATGCTTTAAGTAGTCTTGCAATCCCAGATAGGATAACACACGTCACAATACACTTACTGTCACCTACAACAACACGTCATCTGCAGCCCCTAGACGTTGGGATTATCCAGTCATTCACATTAAGGCTCATTACAGGAGACATCAGCTCAAACACCTTGTTGATTGCACAGGTCCTCTAACTGGCCTACCTGGTTATAATGCCACCCTGCATATAATGACATATTTTATCCTGGCATTATATAGTGGAGATTTATCGTTACGTATACCCTTGAGATTATCGAGGATGCTCTATTGGGGGAGCGATAACCAATTCCAAGAAGGAATTTGCAAAACTTAGTGTGTACTTTTCTCTATCGAAGGTCGTTCTTGTATATCCCCGATTTCGGCACCGTAAAGTATAAGATTGGTTGTATTTTACTATCAATTATAATGGACGCAGATTTTATTGAGATGTTCCGGAACTTATAGATGAAGCGTTTGACATTGTGTAAAGCTTTGTCGGCTTGTTTCGCTAGTGTTTCACTGGCTGCAGAAAATACATTTCTTCATTAAAAATGCTGGATGCCCAGGTATTTATATTAAGAGGCAACTTCTAGTAATTTTCCATTTATTTGCCATCTCTCGTGTTATGATATTTTGCCGCCATTTTTTAAGACTACTATCTTCGTTTTTTCGATATTAATAGTTAATCCCCATTTTTTTTACAATATTCGTATAAAATGTCAATTTCTTGTGTAGGTTTATAGCAGAGACGTACCATATAATGAAACTGTAACCAAATATCGCTACATCATCCGCAAATAGGAGTATAGACAATGTGAGAATAGTTTCATCGATGAATATAAATGTTATGTCACTGGAATAGGAATCATATCTCTCACGGGATCATCTACATACATTATGAATAGTACTGGCGAAAGTATACAGCCCTGTCTTACCCCAGAAGAAGCAGAAAACACAACCTTTGATAATCCCTACAAGTAACATCAATTATCTCCACTGACACTGAAGACTTGGAAAACAAATCTTGGCCAACATTGTTCCATTTCGGATGAAATCTCAGTTTTAAGGGTCTTATGATATCTAGTTGATTCTCAACTTGAAACGCCTTCACCATCCGCAGTTCAAAGAAAGTCAAAAGGTATATCATGCTGACCAGCAGTATGACAACTGCAGTATGATATTCAGAATGGCGTATTACTTATTTCGCCCTACTGTGGCATTGGGCAAACGTTAGTCTGTCTCACAGTCCCTGAACCACATTAATTTCCCCACTGCCAAGCCCTCTTTGCAGTGCTAAAGCCCTAAATAAAGCAAGTCTAGATTTCCTCAGGTTCAGGTTCTTAATTTCTAGTCTCCCTAGGGCTCCTTTTCAATATAAATGGGCTTGTTTGTTACTATCAAAATTATATATATTCAGAGACTAAGCCTTAGTCTAGGCAAGCCAGACCACACACCAAACGTCTTCTGTACCAGCTGCAGGCTGCTATGCCTCCCACCTCATACACCCACATACTACAACCCTATAGATGTATCCATTGTTGGTCAATTAAAGGCCAAGTTCACAAACTTAACTACAAAGCTGGGATTGTCAACAGCCAAATGGCAATAGAGAAAGCTCGATTCCCGTTTGTTCTGAGACACTCAATTGACCATGGTTGTTCACGTTCTGGACTCAAAGAGTCGTTTAGAAAAATGGGAATCGCTCCGTTCTCTCCTCACAAATCCCATCTTGTTGCTCTCCGTCGTGTCTTCACCTCCGCCTGCAACTTCCGATAAACAGCCAGCTCTGTCTGTTGTCTCCTGCGCATCCTCGATAATCTCCAGGGTATACATTACGATCAGTCTTCACCATATAGTGGAGTGATCGTAACATATACCCTGGAGATTATCGAGTATGTCTCCTACGTAACGTGCGGGAAGGTTTTTAACCAACCCCTTGTTTCTTCAGGTTTGATACCCCCTTATCTAAGTGCCATCCTAGTTCCGCCAAAGGCCCCTGTTCCAAGCAAACGTAAAAGAAGATGGTTAACTTGCAAGAGTGGTGACTGGGAGAGAAATGATAGAGAAAATGAAAGTGAGAGACAGAGAAAAGAAGATATGATAAAAATGAATGTTGGAAGGGTGTAAAGAAAGTGAGTGAGCATGGTTTTACGCCGCTTTTAGCAATATCACGGCTAGGGACGCCTGGAATGGGCTTCACACGTTGTACCCATGTGAGGAATCGAACCCGGGCACTCAGCGTGACGAGAGGACGCTTTAACCATTAAGCTACCCCACAGACCCCAGAGAAAGATCGAGAGTGTAAGAAAAACGAGAGGTACAAAGAAAATATATTGAGAGAAAGAACGAATGAGATCTGAGAAATTGGAACAGATGAGGAACTGACGAGAAAGAGGATTGCTGCGGAGCTGGCAGCTGTAAGAAGGCGAGAAAAACACAGGATTAGTAAACGAATGAGGGAAGAGTGTGATGGTGAGAGTGATCATGAGACACTGTAAGAGATGTGGACTGAGAGAGCCTTAGTGGAAATATTCTTTAGTAGTAAAAACTTATTTTTTTATTTATCGACAAGATTGACATCAAATATTTTTAAAAATTAACCTGAAGAAATCACAGACCTGAGACATGCCAGATTGCATTCAGACGTTGGCCCAGCGTTGTCAATGGTTTTGCCAACATTGGGCCAACGTGTGAATGCTATCTGCGATATAATGACAGATTATTCTTTTCTATGTTTGATCTTTTAAATGGACATCTAAAAAACATTATGTGCTGATGGATTAAATATCTTAACTGACCTTTGACCTGTAGGAAAAACTAATTTAGTTATTTTTCGACAAGATTGACATAAAAAATTAAGAAAAACCTGAGTGGACCACCTGCGACAGATGTCATGAGTTCCATGTCGGGTGCATGCAAACTTCGGAAAGTGACGTTTTTTTGTAGTACCTGCTACAGTGAGGAGTAACAGATAACCCATGCTCTGGAATGGATGTAGATGTGTGAATATATATTAATAATATTAATATGCATTTTCCTTTTTGAATGGAAAGGACCGCAGTTATTTACAGCATATACTTTTATTTGAAAAGCAATACGTTCCTATGGAAGAAATCGCATTTCAAACTGAGTACCTATTTGAAAATACATTTCCTTAGATATTAGAGATCTAGCATACAAAATGTTTCCAGTTATTTTGTTGGAACGAATTATGAATAAACCTGATTTTTAAAATGCATTTTTCGGATTTCTGTTCGCATGCACGTTTGTCTAAAATAATAAGTGAAAATGATAATGGAACGTTTCTCTCTAATATTAAAATAATGTCAAAATCGGACATGTCCTTCAATGTGGTTTCCTTTCACTAAGACATGTACATAATACATTTCATTACATTCATTTTGTTACGACAGGACACATTACAAATGACATTAACGAGGCGAATGAAACGTCCATAAAACCAGCTTATATCAGGTTATATCACAGTGAGATTGAGTTTTGTTCTTTTAAGTTTCATTTTTTATAACAAATTCCAAATATGAAATTTGTTCAATATTTCAAAGTTTGAAAGACAATAGTTTTATTACCATATTTATGTCACATATTGGTGAATAACATGAACAATTCAGAAGGGGCGATAACTGCTTTTGTTAGTTGTGGGGAAAGTACAAGATTTACAACAGCACTTCGACAGCACTTGGGCCCCGTCTCGCATATCGCTAAAATTCGCCAAAGCGATATGCGACACTTCTAAGCTGGGCCCCGTCTAGCTTTGTCGAACGTTAGCGCGCGCAAAGGGAGCCGGGAACCAGCTTATGCTGTGCTGGCTGGCCTCATGGAACTCTGGGTAGGAGAGTGAATGGTGTATTTCCGGTTTGGTCTTATGCTTTATATATTTCTTTGGTGAAACCAACGATATGGCATTATAACCAGGAAGGATAGTTAAGAGGCCGCGTGAGGTACGGCATTTTCTATGCAATAAACAAGGTGTTTGAGCTGATGTCGCCAGTAATGATCTGCTCAATGTCAAGACTGTAAACTCAACAGTATCTATAAAATATGTTGCTGAAAATTGACCACCAGTGAAAATGGAATTTCTAAAAAGTAACAGAGGTCGTGTTAAACTTAGCCTTGATGGCTTTATGTACACTAAGAAGATTGCAAATAATGTTTCCATTATATGGGAGTGTTCAGGGAGGACAGCATTTCGCTGTAATGGAAAGCTTAGAACCACATTGGAGGTAAGTTTCTGTATCTAAATATCCTGGCCACAGGCCCCCACTGCGGGTCAGAAAATCGATAAACTAGGCCCCGGTATCAACACCCCCTTCTATATAATACATATAGTAGGGTGTTGATACTAAACCGGGGCCTAGTTTATTGATTTTCTGACCCGCTGTGGGGGCCTGTGATCCTGGCGTACAATGCCGTCCGGTAATTCCGCGCACCTAAGCACATCGATCGCAACACTGCAACTAACGTCTCTTATTTTTTGTGACTAAACATACTGGTATGCATCACATTTACCTAGAAATATAAGTTTTATTCACAACTATAAGATTTTAACGTTGCATTATTAGGGCCACATTATTTTCCAAAATCACTTCATCAATGTAAGGAAGAGTGTTTCATATTAAACCCAATTATGAATAATGAAGAAAAATGTTTAAAAGTCTAAAGAAAACGAATTTTCATAAAACTGTCAATTTATCTGTCAATTACTGTTAATTACTTATCTTTAGTGATTGAAAGCCAGTCCCTTGTAGAAATGTCCCGATTTCAAGCGTAAATGTGGTAGCAGACGATGTTTACCTTCGATACGGAAGTACGCTATTGCAGCTGCGCAGAATTGCCGGACGCTCGGAATTACCAGACTCACTTGTAATGTAAATTTGAGGACATCTATTTTCGTGCACCTATCATTTCCGGGTTCATGCAGTCGCTACACATCAAGTCATGTCAGAGTTTGTGTATGTAAACATGAAGTCGTCTTCGTATTCCTACTGTCACAATTTGGAAATCAAAAGCTTCAAATGAGTTTTTTATCAAAAGTTTTCTAGCTAACATGTTTTAATGCTTCTGCACTAATGCAAAATCATCGAGACGAAAATGAGCCCTAAAAATAGTTTTCGTTCATGACAGCACCCATCTACCGGAGTAGTATATATACTAGGGGTACGAGATAAAGTCTGACAAAAGCTACTGTAAAGCTTTATTTATTAAATAAAGCTTTTATCAGGCCCTTATCTCTTTCCGCTAGTGTGCATACCACTTTTTGTTCGCCCCCAAAACTTCCTGGTCACTATGACCGCAAACCAACACTTTCCTCGTCATGTGACACTATTGTGATCACTCGGCTATGTTGTTTCATATCAACCTATATAATGTTGATCACAGCGAAATAATTTAATGTGAATCTCCTATGATTTCTTTGGTTTTCGTAATGAAAGCTTGTTGGGCTTGTTGTATCCCTTGTTCTCGTCTTCGCTGATGGCAGTGCTGTTACGAGACTTGTTCCAAATTCTTGTTTCATTTTGTGATATTTTGTGAGTTCAGAGAGTACCAAACGAAACTCATCCTCTGAGATTTTACTCCGTGAGTGCCGTTGAAATATGATCGGCTATTGTGTTTAACTTTGCTTCGGCTAGAATTCTAATTTCGTCGTGTTTCAATGCTTTACGATGTAATTTGCGAGATACAAACTTAAGCACCAATCCCACCAACCCTGACACCCCAGCTGTTATTTCAATGCCTAGCACTATAGGTGTGGCTACGATGGTGGACAATAACCCGACACCTACCGCACCTAATCCCATACTGGCTGCCATAAGGGAGGTATCAACCCCATCCACGAAATTGAAAGCTCTATGGTATTTCTTACATAATGCTTTCCGTATGTCGCGATCTTGTTCTAGTTGACGTTTTATCTCACATAACTGTCTCAAACGAAATCCGTCTACAGTTTCCAGTGTTTTTGCTACTTCTACGACTGGGTACAGTCCCATCCTGTGTGTGTATTATATATAATAAGATAAAATTTAATTGGTTTCGTTAATTTCTTATCAATGTATTTGAGGCTTATAAGGCTTAGATTTTTATGCAAGAAAATCCCTGAGACATCAATAGGCACATCTTGGTCCAAAATACAGCCCCCCTCGAGGCTTTTTTTGTAAATATCTCTTCATCCAATGACCCAATCGATCTCAAACTGTGCAAGTGGATGTTTTTGTCAGACAACCTAATCACATTGTAAATCACCGATTTTATGCATTTGTATTAAAGAATCTGTCAAAATATACAGCAGAACGCAAACTGCTTGCAGAGAGAGGGAGCCAATGACCTGTAACAGCGACGTCGTCTAGGTCGAACAGTTTGCCACCGAACGCTGGGTATAATGTCCATTCGTCCTCGTCGTTGCGGACTAGACCATACCGAGTGTTGCTGTTCGCTCCTGCGGTATTGACGATATCAGTTAAGTTACTGTCGGATCCACCGGCGGGGACTTCAGCGCGTTTGTAAATGTTATTTTTCAGTTGCAAGGCGTACAGTTTACCGTCTATTCCTGGTTCGTCAAATCCACCAGTGTCCCCGAGGTCGGAGATCGCTAGGTTGGCACATTTTCTTAATCGCGTTCCTGGACCATGGGCTCTAGTCATTATTGTATGTGCAGCGTTATGCTGAGGTACCCTATATTAATAGGATGTTTTTTAATATCTAAAATACACATTTTTAATTCAGAGATGGTACCTTGTGTTAATTTCTTGTACTGCCGTGACGAACACGATTCGGTTCTGCCGTCATTGTACTTTTCCGTTTTCACTGGTACTGCTCTCAACAGCGTAGAAGGGCATTCACCTTGAATGTTGTCTGTAGTGCTCAGCTGGTCGAGATGAATGCACAGTTCGCGGTATGGAACTAGGTCGGGTAATCCCATGCCTGTGACGGTGTTTGTCGGGGGTATTTTGCTCGACGGCAACCCAAGTGTTCTCGCCAACGGCCGGCTGAGTCTCAAGACGTTTCTTCCGTTGTTAGTTAACACGACCGTGACGTTCGAGTCGTTAATTTTGAGTTCGACTCCCACGGGTTCGAAGTGTTCATTGCTGAGCGAGCACACACTGTAGTAGCCGACGGTTATGTGGTTATGTTGTTGTTGCTGCTGTTGATGTTGGTCCATTGCGGGCAGTAGGTGATATCGCAGAGTGCGACTTCGAGTTGACCTGACGTGTTATCGATCACGTGCATCAGTTAAACGGACTCACCACTCATTATTTCTGGAAGTGTCACATACATATTAAAGTATATATACCCATTATATAATAATTTTAAAATGTAGAAACCGGGAGTGTTTTACCCTAAAATGGATATAGATTTCACGCACATGAAGACCGTGGTCGATGCGGTTTACATTTCAGAGCACAGTTTATTGATGTGTTTAAAAATTACAGGGTTTCATTGACGGTTCCTGGCAAAATCAATTCAATTTCGCCGTGTGGTGCTCTACAGCTAGGTGTGGCTTGGCGTTGAGCGACACTCGGCGTGGCCCGCTGGGTCGGGCTGTGTTTATGTTTCACGTGTACTTTCAGATAAGACGTATCGTCAAAGAAATCAGCGCTCCGCTTCCACAGGACAAAGGGTGGGATGCAGTAAACAATCCGTATGATCGACGAATTTGCAACGAATTCGAAATCCATCCGAAGACGGAGTGGCATTTGCCGGGTGGGAACCACGGTTTTGGCATTCCCATCGTTCACAACATGCCTCTAGCGAAAGCCAGCAAACAGCTAGTGAAAGATTGGGGTTACAAGTCGTATCATTACGTCAAGACGAACGACGATTACATGCCTTTCGACGACAGCAAGGATTACCGCGTTTGGAGGTTTGAGCAGAGACCCGCGGACGATTGGAAAATGGTCATGCTGGACACTTCGAAAGGGTTTACTTGTGCTGGTGTCATCAGATTGAACAATTCTATTCGAACGTACATGTGGGCCGTGCTCGGCGCTCAGGCGAAAACGCGTTCCGGCATCGTGGGTAAAGGGACTGCTTAGGACGCGCAGAAGCTCCATGGCACCGAGTTCAGTTCGAGTCTTTTGCAGATCTTGAACGACCTTCTGTGAAAAAATTTGGGCTGTGCGCCACTGTAATTTCGCATGTTTAATTCGTTGCGGATCAGTTGATTCCCCCAACAGCGATTGGCGAGTGTCAACAAGGCGAGTGGATTTCTCGTGAGATCGACCTCTCAATTGCAGCGCCCTGTTGTTGCCAATTTCAAATTTGGAATAGTCTCGTCCCAACGGTTCGCGTAATTCTTATCTCGTCTCAATGCATTGTGATATATATTTACGGTCTGCTTTAAAAGTTTGTTGCTAACGGTATTGCCCATGAACGAGGTGTCCAGCTGAGGGTCTGTGAAATCGGTCATTTCGATATTGTCCCTTATATTAATTATATTAAATGTATATATTTATATAAATATATAATGTCACAATACGGAAAAAAAGCTAGATCCTTTTAGAAGATTAAGAGAGCCTCTTGGTGTCAAAGCGTCAGTCTGTGGCTATCACCAATAATCCGAGCAAAAACCAAACCAAAACCAAAACCAAACGCTGTTGGTTCGATTCCCCAACCTGGGCGAGAATGACCTTATCGTTCCCGTCACGGTTCGGACTGGCGTTTAACATGGCATTGACTTCCGACAACGACAAACGTGAACTCGTGTGGAATATCGGCCGTACCATCATCAAGAAAACCACCATCAAAATCAGCGGCAACGAGGTGTTGAGTATAGACGACAGCGATGTGTTTTACTGTTATATAGATCTATGGAAAAGCCAGGGTGAACGTTATAATGATGTGTATCAAGGTATCAGTAAATCGACTCGGATGAGCGTCGGGTACGTCTTCACGCAAGATCAGCTCAACAAAATCCTGGCGACGAAAAAGCCATCGCCGAAGAGTATGGGAACCGGTTTTGCGTGCCGCTCGACTTCAAGTTGCTCACGGGACATGCACCGTTTTACCAGGCCGCGCTGGGCGATCGGTTGGAATACGAACTCACGTTTAACAACTACAGCAAAGTCGTGCGTACGCCAAACGGGGATGCTGGTAGTTACGCCATCGACAACATCTCGCTGGAGTTCAACATGGTAACGAGCCCGGAGCTGGCCCGACAGGTTCAAAACCAGTACTCGGGAAAGCTGTCCATCCTGTACGCCCGAGTCCTGCGGCACCGAACGATCGT